AATTATACAAGCCCCATTCAAGCTTGTGAACCATAACACACAGGGGTTAAGTTGTTTTATTCAAAAATCTATATTCATCTCTGCTTCCAGTATGAGATAAAAATAACAAATTTCAAATTAGGTTTTAGGTCTTCAATTACATACCTCTTTTAAACAAAGCCACAATTCTAATAGATGAGAACTGCATGATATCTTTTTCCCCTTCTTAGAACTGAAGTACGCACTGAAAAATACATCATGCATTTAGTTATTAATGTTTAAGTAAATTCTCCCTCTAAAGAATGAGATATGTCAACAGTAGACTAAATGTGCAGTATATAAATTTTAATAGTATCCACAAATGTACAGACTCTATAAATATAATTGTGTGCTTAGGAAACTCTCCAAAGAAAGGTTAAACAGGACGACAATAGCAAAAGAGAGGAAATAAAGGGAAAAGAGATCCATGTCAGGGAAAGACAGCTAGTGCTATTGAAATTGACAGTGCATACATTACCAAGGGGGAAGGAAGCACTATTTTTGCTTGAAAAATAATAGAACATTGTAATCATCTTCTGGAAGAAGCTGTAAAGCTAGGAAGGAGGACATGATAGCTGTCTGAGAAGCAATTAAGCAGTCTCCTAGAGGAGACTGAAAATGGACGTGGGAAGAAATGCAAATAGCCTTAAGTCCCCGTCATATGTCAGCCCTTCAGGAGCCTTGAGCCCTCCTGGAGCTGATGAAGGGCATTTGGTGAAATGTTACTTCAGGAATAAGAGTGTACACAACAAGAGCAGGAAACAAAAGGATAGTGTTTGAAATCAGGTAGAAAGAATTACTGATGCTCAATTGCAAGATGCGGGTTCTCTGTGCTGTGTCATAGCACAGAAGTTGTGGTATGCATGTGTCAGGATCAGTTTGCACAGACCTATCTTGAGTCTATCCAGTTCTACCTAATAGTTCATTACAAAACAAATTACACCCCAGATTGGACTTGAAGAACAAATGCACGGTCACGTAATTGCTTCGGCCTTCCTAGCATTTCTCGTTCTTTCAAAGTTTACCTATTGATTACTATCACCCCTTAGAGAGGAAGCTTTCCCAACCTGGACATCGTTGACATTGGGGTCCAGATCACTCCTGGTTGGAGCCTCTCTCCTGTATTATAGGATGCCAGTAGTGCCTCCCCGCTTCATTGTGACAATCAAAAATGTCTCCAAACACTGACAAATGTCTCTGGGAGGAGGTGAGGAAATGGGATCAAAATCACCCCTATAGAGTATTGCTCTGTTAGATAAAGTAGAAATTCAGATTTTCTTTTCTGGTGTCGTGGAGAGCTTATGATCTTGAAGCCAGTTTATCTAGCTGCAGATCCCTGCTCCCATGCTTTATAAGTGAGTGATCTGGGACACCAAGTCCTGTGCCTTTCAGCCACCTCATGACACCCCCGGAGGGTGTTGGGGTTGGCGTTAATTGTTCTCTAGAGAAGCTTCAACTCCTCAAGTATTGCTGCTTTTCGGCAAATGAATTAAATCAGCTGAAACAATCTATAAACTCTGCAGGGCTCCAAATCCAAGGCAAACATGCAAAACAGGTCTGAAAGAAAAATGTCAGCTCTTTCCTAATGTGTGAATTTTCAAATCAGTTGCATTTATTTTAGTGTCAGCAATAAATGCATATTAATACCCTCTTCTATGCCATGTGACAAGCAGGTTTTAAGACTGTGTGTGTTGAAGGTGAGGGACGGAGCATATAAAGTTCATCTGAGGACGTGGCCCTGATTTTGATCATTCTAAATGCTATGAAGGATGCTCACACCCTAGGTTACCTACTCGTTTAGAAATGGCTCTCTGTATGCCAGTTCCCAAGCTCACCACAGGATGTCAGCCTGGTCCCACTGAAGTTTCTCATGGCAGCTAACTTGAACATCACAAAATTTCAGAATCCATGAAGATGACATCAAGGAGGAAATCTGAGACCAAAATTGCTGCCACTCTCCCTGTAAAGGATGTGGTAGGGGCTTGTGCATGCTCACAGATTGTTAGGAGGATGAAATGAAGTGAAAAGCACCTGTACAGAGCTAGGCTATAGCAGATAAAGTCAGTGCTCCCCAAAATGACCTTGAATGCCCTTTTAGTGTTGTCACACACTCTCAGCACCTACAGCCTCCTTGAGTCTGCATTGTCCATATACAGTGAGGGACAGAACTACCTGGGTATGATGTCTCTCACAGTAACCCGTAATCAGTGACCATGGAGCCAGAAAGAAGTTTAGCTTCCTTGAATGAATCCAGGCAGCCTCTGAGGCATAAAATATGCACTCTGAGGTCCCAGTGGGATTAGACAGTAGCTAGCACTGTAAGGCCTTGCCCGAGGTTTCACCCTTGTTAACCCCCTACCCTATCCTGCTGGCCCTTCTGTTTCCCCTGGGATTTATTCTTCCATAAATTACATACCTAAATCTTCATCTTGAGTCTGCTTCTAGGGAACCCCATCTAAGATACTGGTTTACAGCTGATGCCAAAAAATCATTGATCCCTTTCTCCCACAAGTATCTATCTGTTTGCTTCAGGTTTCTGAGACTTGGGAACACATGTTACCTAGCATGGCTCCTGCACCCCTCCGCCTTTTCCTGCAGGACAGACCAGTATTGTGAGTCTGTCCAGCTGACCCATTCTATTGTCCTTTGAGCCTGGTTGAGGCTGCTTCCCAGGAACCACTGAGTCCGTTTATGGTCCTTGAGGGTCAAAGCTCAAGCTTTGTTTGTTTCTCCATTTGTGGTGGCAGTAAGTGAGGGTAGTAATTTAAAGCTCAGAAAAAGATCCAGAAACAGATAAAAAGGCCCTTAAATCATTTTGGAGTCATGAAGGGCAGGGGCGAGGAGAAGGAACAGAGAATTCCATTTTTTCTCCCAAACTTGACATATTATTGCTCAAAGTACCATTCCCATCTTTGCTAGTTCATTTGGTCAAAATAAATACACATGCTGAAGCAAATAAGAAAAGGAGAGAGGGAGGATAAGAAGAGAAGAGAAGAGAAGAGCACCGCCTCATTTTTTACCTCCAAAACACATTGGCGTTAGCCTAGCATACGCTCGAGAAAAATGATTAAAACAATTGCTCACATGTGACAGAAAAGTCATTTTCATTTAGAAAAATATTTAAATCATGAGTTGGGGAGCATTTTCTGTCTCTGTTAATAATGGGTTAGAGGGTAGATTATATAAAGCATGTGGATCAATATGTCATTTCCTGATTAAATTGCTCGTATACCCTGGTATTTGTCGGTGACACAGCTGGGAAGACATTGTACTATGGAAAGGACTTTAAGTCACAAAAATTGCATTTCCAGAGTACAACATGGAATTGTATTAACTTCTGTAATTTTTTCTCTTATTTCTTTTCACCATTTTAGATAAGCGAGGCTGATGGTTGAAGAAATGAGATTTTCTTTCTAGTGCTCACTTCTATTTCTTCTCTCCACTCAGAGCCTAAATACCCATTCCCTCCAGAGATTTGTTCAAACGCTACACAAATGAGCTTAATATTTCCCTATATTGGATAGGATCCACGAGGATGCAAGTGTCTCAGCCAATAATCACAAACAGCAATAAACCACATTTATCTTTGGTCAGGGGTAGGTGATGCTAAAGTCACTGACATCTTTGACTTATTTTTTCTTCTAAGAATATGAAATATGCTAGGGTTTTCTAAACCTTTACAGCACAAAAACTGCTGCTGAACTTAATCATACTGAGAGGTCTTATGACCTCAAATTAAATTCCTTTGCTTCTTAACCTACCATCTACTGATCTAGACTGAACTTCCTCTTTCCTTTATCTTTCCTTGCCCTCTGGGAATGCGGGAGGGTCAGTTTTCGATTGAACCTGGGAACTCCTGAACTTGTGAACCAAAAATGTCAGCCTCAGCGGTTGACAACCTCTTAGAGGTGTTAAGATGTCCTTGCTCTTAGTGGAAAGGAAGGAAGAAAGATTCCCGAAATGGAAATGGTTCCCAGAGGCCTCATTGCCCCCCAAATCCTCCACTACTCAACCCCCTTTTCGCTAGGTAGATACCAATGCTGGTGAGTAGGAGCTGACTGGGGCAAGGAGGGAACCTACAGTTGGAAGTCCTGTGCTTGGGAAGTGAGGCTGAAAGCATGCGGCCGGATGGGGGACTTTAGGGAAACCGAAGGCACAATAGGGATTCTGGGTGTCTCAAGGGGTGATGAGATAGCTGGAATGAGAGAGTCAGAAAGTAAGAGGCAGATAAAAATAGAAGTAGGATAAATACCTCTTACCTTAAAATTGTATTGAAAACCCTAGATGCTACTGAAAACTTTTATGGAATAAAGTGAGATAGAAAAAAGGAACGAGTGGGTTTGGTTTTCTCAGGCTTTTTTTTTTTTTTTTTTTTTTTGAGGGGGATATCATTTACTTGACTGAACTCCATAAGCATTTGGCAAAAACATATTCACCTAAAGCACAGTGGATACATGATACAAGTCTCCAACTTGCCTTAAATAGCTTCTTCATGCTGTGGGATGATCAGACCACAGAAAACTGAGGAACAAACTGCATTCCCAAGGCCCCCCACCCACTTATTTTCTATAGCTCAATGTGAAAAATGTTTTTTTAACTCAGAAATTGTAATTTTTTTAGTCTCGTATAGGCATTTTAATATGTGTAAACAAATAAACACTCACAACTACATCAAAAGAATTTCATTAGTAATATACAATCAAAGCAGATTTCCAGTTAAACATATTTTAAAAATTGTGAGTCCACTGGAACCACAAAAGCAGCATCCCTTCACCAGATATTCTTGACACATCATCCTTGACTGGAGGAATTTGCACAGAAAGTGGAAATTCAAGCTTGAAATAGAAGTAGAGGAAATAACCCAGAGATTTTTTTTTTTTCTGTGTCTTTTGACTTGAGGCTCAAATAATATCCAGGGACAGCGCATAATAAAAAGAAACTATTTTATTAAAAATATTTCATAAACTGTCCTACTCCGACTATATAAACACATATATATTTAAAATGTAGAGAGAAGTAAATTGATCAGAGGGTAAAATTACCCAATTGAAATAATTTCTAAGACTTTCGTCAAAGAGAAATTTAAAAGCGTAGTCCAAACATCTGTGAATCCAAACAGCTCTTTTATTTTTCTCCAACAGCTTCACATACTCAAGGCATCAAATATTAAAAGTAACAATCCTAGAATACTACTCCTTGATGATATAGACTCTTCGGATACATTATAACACTCCAATTGGCCAGAGACAAATAAGTAGAAAACATTATATCCAAAGGGAATATCTGTTATCTGCCAACTTTATACAGGAAGACAAACAGCTTGGAAGAATTACTATTTAGGAATAGCTTACAAATAAACCAACCATCTTCTATATGCATCCCTATGTAAAAGAAGGCTGAAAGATAATTTGTGTTTAATTTGTCCACTTGAGCCAAATGTCGCCCTGCTTAGGTGGTGGGATGATAACCAGGCCAGCAGAAAACAAGACTTGAGTTGAAGCCCTGCCTTTACTTGCCACCTCCAGCCCCAAACCCCAGCCCTCCTATAAAGTAACATAACTTGGAAACAAAAGTCAGACATGTATTTTTGGTTATATTTGCTTTTTTCTTTATTTTGCGTGTTTCCTTTCTATCTGCAGATTTGTCTAATTTGTTACTCGCAGAAGAAGTCAATATCCTAGGAAAAAAAACAAAAGCAAAAATAGATTGAACTGAGCAGGCAGGGCCAGAAAATAGATGTATGTTCTTTATTTAAAATCAAAGGGAAATTTGGACTTAAAATAAATAAAGTTTGAACCCCAATGGTTATAATTATCATTTTAAATAAAACATTACTTAAAATGAAGGTTTTCAAATATACTTTTTTTTCCCGACTATGCTGGCACCTGGTGTAGTTAAACAACAGAGTCGGCATGAGCAAGGGCCAAAATGCCAACGAGCTACTGGCTGCTGTTTTCCCAGAAGCGTCACGCTTGCTTAGGTACAAGACAACCTAGGCAGCTGCCTACAGCTGAGGCAAATATACTTTTAATTTATGATTATTCAACTCATTCGAGTTCAGTGCTAAGCAGTGATGACAAGTGAGTCCTATTTGTGAAGGCTGGGAAATGTTTTGAAGTTATTTAGCACAGCAATTAGCTCCAGGAGAATAGCTTCAAAACAACCACTTCTCGAAGCAGCTCCAGGGGGATCTTTTATTTCTGTCCTGGGTTTACAAGACCCTAAGGCA